CGACGCAGGCGGCGGGCGTCGCCGTGCCGGTGCTGGCGGCGCCCCCTCACGGCCGAGCGAAGGCGGTCGGGCCCGTCATGTTTGCGTCGATGGACCAGCTGTTGCCGTCGGTAACGAGCAAGAAGCGAGCGCAGCTGGCCGCCGCCGCCGCCGGCTCGAGGACGTCCGGCGGAGCTCGCCAGGTGGCGCCGGCAGCCGGTGCATCGCCGTCGCCAACCTCGGTGGCGCCTTCGGTGGCGGGGACGCTGCCGTCTAGTCAACCGATGATGCTGCAGACTTCGGCTTCCGCGATGTCGATGCCCATGTTGACCCTGCAGGTCACCGCCGCACCGCCGGCGACGCCGACGACAACGGAGCATCCGACGGCGACCGCCGCGTCGCAGTTTGTTCTCACGATCCCCGGCGCGTCGCCGCTCATGTCCGTGCTGCCGCCTAGTGGCCGCTGACGGCGCGGCGTGGTCGTCTACCCGTTTGCTCTCCGTGTATATAGTGAGTGCTGTGTGCGACAGCTGTGTATAGGGGGGACGGGGCTTTAGCGTGGGTTGGGAGTCCTACGTTTCGGCGAGCGTATCTGCTCGCGTGATGTCATCGGTTCTTGTGCACGACGCACGTGAGTAATCAAGAAGATTGGCGACGATGTTAGTTCAGCGCTTACCAAGAAGATTAGGTGTTTCCTAACACCCAGAATCATTGAAGCATCTCCCAGGGGTGAGGTGAAATTGAATTTTATATATCAAATATGCATTATGTACGTGTGTTTTTCAGTTGTGTTAGAAGGAAGCCTTGATTTGCTTGCCTACTATTGTGATATCTAATTAATATAACAATGCATGATTGAGCAATTGCTATCGCAATAGCAATCGCTATCGTGACAAGGCTTTAATTGCGTTTGTAGCTATTGGCTTTATAAGATGGCAGCTCTATGCATGATTTACCTGTAAAACTATGTGTATATAATCACATACTTGCATGTGTATATAATCAGCCATTGTCAGTCAAAGATTGTGCGGTTGACGTAGTTACCGTAGTTACGTGTTGTTTATTATTTCCTGACGTCTGTGTAGATCAGAGTGAACTGGTGAATAAAATAGATTCACTTACATGATGATGATGTCAATGATGACAATGATTACAATGATGATGATGATGACGATGATGATTACGAGGATGATGATGATTACGAGGATGATGATGATGATGATTACGAAGATGATGATGATGATGATTACGCGGATGATGATGATGATGATGATTATGAGGATGATGATGATGACAATGACGATGATGATGATGATGACGGTAATACAGGTGGTGACTGAAGTTGCTTTGTAGATATTGTACAATTTGGATGCTTGCTGATGATGATGATGTTGATCATGGAAATCATGATGCATTGCCTATGTGTTTTACCAAATGATTTTTACGGTTTTATCGGAACGAATAATTGCGAAAAATCGTTGTTTGCAATCAGGTACATTATAAACAACGAGAGATATTTGTCCACTTGCATGCATGGCCAAACGTAATAAAATCTCGAGCTGTGTCAATATCCACAGACTATGTCAACAACTGTGTGCAAATTAAAAGTAAGCAATTGCAAGCAGCAAAAGCAACGATGGAACGAATAAATGTCAGTAGTCGAAATTTGCTAATCGGCATTCGAAAAGCAGTCTAAATTTGTTTGTGGATATTGTAGTGTATCATGTTTGTCACAACAGTTCCATTATTGCCAAATGTTATGCAAGTGGTTTGTGTTTCTGGGATGAGGCAGTGGAGGTGTGTTATTGAGGTGTGACCTTGTGATGACCTTGTGAATAAACACCTGCACAGACGTGCTTAAACAAGCAGCTCTCCTGTTCTACTGGCATTTATAGAGGGCGCGCATCATGCAGTAACCTTCTGCAAATTGTTCACGGCTTATTGCACTACTTCGTCTCTGGAAAAGACCTTTTGAATAGCGGACCCACGACGCGAGCATCATTTCCCGTGCACTTTAGCACATGGAGGGGTGTGGCAGAATGGTCCCCGGATGAAGTGAAAATTTTTAGATTGAATTTCCTCATGCACGTACATCTCCCTCGGGTATACCCCCTGTAGCGTACGATCGGCTGAAAAGCATTGTACGTCTTGGGTGGCTAAGGAGACGAGCGAGCCATGCGCATTTGTTCTAGTGCTTTAGGCAGGATTGTATGCTGAGCAAATTTCTTTTGGGGGTGGGGCAAAATTTTCAACTAATAAATCGCGACACATGTAAAGGATTGGATTACCTAAATGGATAATGTTTTCGTAGTTTATAGTTGTTTTTTTTTAAATTGTAATTTTGTTGCTATATTTATTACATTTATTTTTGTTGCTTCTTATAATTATTTTATTTGTTTATTTTTTATTTTGCTCCCAAATCTAGGGGCAGCTGTCCCCCTTGCATCTAATTGCAAGCACCCCTCCCCAATGTTACCGCCTGTGTATATATGGTACTGTGGGACAACAGAGCTGTATCATATACTAAGAATATCTTAGTCTATGGCTGTATATAGTGCATACATACACGTATTATATATAGCTCAGTGTTTGGGGATTTTGAAGAATAACCTTTATTTGCTCTGTCTCAGGGGAGATATAGTGATCCGGTAGAGGCGCCACCATTCAATGGCACTAGAAAATGCAATGTTAAAATATGACTCTTTGGCGCCATCTAGTGTAAAAAATAATTATCAAGTGCTCATATATGGCAAGGAGCTACATATAACTCCTTATATGTAGGAGTTACATATATATAGTCCTACATATAACTCCTTATATATAACTCCTTATAACTCCATATAACTCCGTTATATGTAGCTCCTTGATATATGGAATAATCCTGATGGATATATACCGTTGATACATCGGGTTTCGTCACGATGTGACGGGCTTCAGTCACGTGAACTGAATCATCCAACCATCTTGTCTGTGTTTTTGTGGTCGATGACGTTTTTAACAGTGATAACTCGAAAGGTGCATAATTAGAAGTACAACGAACCTGGCGTAAGTTAATGCATTTATCGCGCGGACAATTAACGGACTTGTTCGTTGTTCAATGCGTGTAATAAAAGACAGTCTATGTGAATATACTCTATGGGCAGCATTAATATAGTTATATTTATATATAGGCAGTGTATACAGCCACACGCGTGTGTCTATAGCGACTCCAGTGTGGAGCGTATCCAACCACACCAATTTAATATTATTAGCAACGACGTGTCAAATATACATTTAAATTTTCATTAATGTCTCTTTTTACTCAGAATGTGGAAAATATTCACCAGTAAATGTCTTACGATCTTGTTCAGGTGCTGTAGATCTAGGACTTATATTTTTATCTGCTTCAAACGTCCAAATTACGAGTGCAGTGCAGTGTCTCAACTTTTTCATAGTTTTAATTTTTATACTAAGATCTAAGAATTCGAAATAGTTTGACTTCCACTAATATAATGGGGCAGAAAAAGAAAGTAACTAAGAAGGCTGATAAATTTGGGAATATGTGGGCCCAATGCAGTAAGTGTAAAAGGTGGGATATATGGGAAAATGTCAGTGATGTAGACGACATGCCGGAAGATTTCGTGTATGATTGTCACGCCTGTAATTTCCAGAGACAGTGGACTAGCGAGAAGACTGCTCTCACTCAGGAGATCGAAAAGCTGAAGAAGGAAGTCTGGCTATTGAGGAGTCGTGAGGAACGAGAGGGAAGCTACGTACATCATACTTGATGAGCTGGTCGAGTCCACGGCCAAGGAAGCTGAAGCTGGGGATTCCACTGCTAACGAGTTGGAGGAGGGGACCACCAAGGAGCTGGAGGACGGAACCGCCATGGACCTGGAGGACGGGACCACCAAGGACCGGGACGATGGGATCATCATGGACCGGGACGACGGGACCACCATAGACCGGGACGACGAGACCGCTGGGGAGATGGAGGACCGGACAACACAGCCACTGAATCCAACGAATGATGACAGCAGTAGAACCCAACGTAAAAAAATCTTAATTTTGGGCGACTCAATAGTCAGACAGACAGTAAAGACAGTAAGTAACAATGGAGAAAGAAGGGATAGGTGTGTATTAACCTTTGGAGGGGCTGGGGCACATGATATTGAAGAAAGGCTAGACAGAGTAGTTAATCGGGAAGATAGTCTGGGAACAGTAATTATGCATGTTGTGGTAAATGATGCTTTAAATAAGAAATTAGAAGAAGCTAGACAAGGTCTTCTGCAATTAGCAAGGAGTGCAAGTGAAAAAACCAAAGGAAAACTCATCATATCGGGACTGCTACCGTGCTTCAAGCCGAACCGTAACCACCTGAACCAGAAGATAATGTCCCTGAACTGTATTCGCTCAGGAAACATCATTTCTACCTGCTAAACACTTACCGTAATCACTTTACTTGTACAGAATATGCTGAAGTTTTTTTTCTCGTTTATATTTTTTCTTCGTGGTATATAGCACTGTTTTGTATGGTATCACTCAGAAAGCTTCTTTTTTTTCTTTTCTTTTTTATATAACTGCTCCAACACTTACCTTAATCACTTTACTTGTACATAATATGCTGAAGTTTTTTTTGTATATATTTTGTTTTCATGCTGTATATCAATGTTTTGTACTGTATCACTGTATCACTGTATCACTCTGAAATTTTGGGGATCGTGGGTATATTTGCTATAGTTTATAGTATGTACAATGTTATGTTGGACCACAATGGAAATAAGTGTGTTAGCCACGCTTTTTGTGTTTTCATCCTCGATAATTTGTCTAGCTGCATTTTCTTTTATTTATGCTGTTATCGATGTAATGTATGCTTTGTTAATTATCGAAATAAATAAATCAAATCAAATCAAAAGTCTCTGTCCCGTACGCGACTCTTCTCGGATTCCGTAGCCGGTGTATATGCAGCCAGTACGTGGATGCATGTCCTGTATTTGTACGTGTATATGTGTGTACAATGTACTCATCCTCCACCAAGCTACCTTGTGTATGCGCGCAATATCAATATACCGCATTAATTATTAATTATAATTTATTTTTTATTGCATGTAATTCAAATACAAATACATGTACTGAAGACAGTCTTTTTTATGGAGAAAAACATCTGATAAATGCTGTTGAACAGTTAAAATAATACAATTTCTGAGTGATACAGTACAAAACATTGCTATACAACATAAAGGAAGAATATATACAAAAAACGTCAGCATTTTCTGTACAAATAAAGTGGTTAAGGTACACTTTAACATCATTTCGAGACTCTTACGTACACCATTAATGGCATTATAATTTTATACACATTAACACATACACACATATTTATATAAATATAAACACATATTCATTTAGAATACAACATAATAGATTCATAACTTGTTCCCCTATCTGCTATATATATTTTAAGTTGTTAAAATTGTATTTTTTAACA